ATATATATATATATATATATATATATATATACATAAATTTTTTTTTTTATATATTATATATATATAATTGTTTATAGAGATATCACCTAAAGCTAAATTTGATAAGTAGTCAATCGAAATCGTTCACACTGTATCGTTGACAGATCTGTGCCGTGATTTGATTGTGTGAAGCGCCTACACCAATATTGATAATAGATTTTAGTATAAATATCACCCCAAGGAGCTATTGGAATTTAGTCGAACTTTAGTAGACACCAATTGAAAATATGCTGAAAGCAATCACAGTACTCGCCGTGGTCCTTGCCGTGGCCAGCGCCGAGCTCCATCGTGTGCCCATTCTCAAGCACGAGAATTTCGTGAAGACCCGTGAGAATGTCAAGGCCGAGAAGGCCTACCTGCGCGGCAAGTACAACCTGCCCAGTGCTCGCCTCAACGAGGAGGAGCTCTCCAACTCGATCAACATGGCCTACTATGGCGCCATCACCATTGGTACTCCCCCACAGAGCTTCAAGGTTCTGTTCGATTCGGGCTCCTCCAACTTGTGGGTGCCATCGAGCAAGTGCTGGTTCTTTGATGTGGCCTGCATGAATCACAACCAGTACGATCATGACAAGTCCTCCACCTACAAGTCGAATGGCGAGAGCTTCTCCATCCAATATGGCTCAGGCAGTCTGTCCGGCTTCCTGTCCACCGATACCGTCGATGTCAATGGCCTGGTGATTAAGAGCCAGACCTTCGCTGAGGCCACCAGTGAGCCAGGCACCAGCTTTAACAATGCCAAATTCGATGGTATCCTTGGCATGGCTTATCAATCCCTTGCCGTGGACAACGTTGTGCCACCCTTCTACAACATGGTCTCTGAGGGACTCGTCGACGAATCCGTCTTCTCGTTCTACCTTGCACGCGATGGCACCTCCAACGAGGGCGGTGAACTGATCTTCGGCGGCTCTGACTCCTCCCTGTACACCGGAGACCTGACCTATGTGCCCATCTCCGAGCAGGGCTACTGGCAGTTTGCTGTGGATAGCGTTTCCATCGATGGTCAGACCCTGTGCGAAGATTGCCAGGCTATTGCTGATACTGGCACCTCCCTCCTGGTTGTGTCTGGAGATGCCTACGATATCTTGAACAATCTGCTCAACGTTGATGAGAATGGCCTTGTCGATTGCTCCACCATCGACTCGATGCCCGTGCTCAACCTCAACATTGGTGGCACCAAATTCACCCTGGACGCATCTCAATATATCATCCAGTCCGATGGCGAGTGCCAGTCGGGCTTCGAGTACATGGGCACCGACTTCTGGATCTTGGGCGATGTCTTCATTGGAAAGTACTACACCGAGTTCGATTTGGGCAACAACCGCATTGGCTTTGCTCCAGTTGCTTAAGAATTGAAATAAACGAATCCCTAAATGCAAAAATTATTTACGTTTTGTACATATTGAAAACTTGCTTTTGGTTAGAAACATACATAAGTAAATTTTTGATATATATATAAGTATAAAGATTGCAATGATCTCTTTGTCTAGACAAATTTTGTTTGAATTAAAACAACTTACGATTCTGTTTACATTTCTATAATATATTGCGTATTATATCTGAGTACTTACAAAGGGCCTTGTTTGTATTTTGTGCGGCAATGTTTTGAAACAGTTCGTAGAATGACGTAAAGCTTGCTTAGAAGATTAGGTTCGTTGTCTAATGTTAGCTAATATATGAATCTATAGAGCTTGAGTAGAAGAACCCAAATGCGCAGGAGTTATATATATATATATATATATATATATATATCTGATTGAGAGACAGCTATTAAACCTATACAAATCTATTAGAAATATTTTTATGTTTTACATGTATTTCCTGATCAGTTGTTCTATACTAACTTGAGTCTTTGTCTATTAAAATCTTTTTCATTAAATCGAAATACTATATCATATAGTGGGCATAGATAAATGAAGCAAATGAAGGTTAATATATATATATATATATATATATAATATATAAATATTAAACATTAAATTTGCTATAAACTTTATAGAATTACATATAATATCTATGACATTGGAGGTCTTTGTAAAAATATAATTTGATAATTTTCTGTGTAAATATAATTTGATATTTTAAAGCATAACAGTCAGTTATGTCAACAATCAGATTTGACTGTCTTTAAGCTAAGTGACGAGTTTGACAAGTTATGGAACGTAATGCTGATTGGTAGCCCATGGACGTTTCATGTTCAAGTGCCGCGGAGTTTCCCTCACTCGAGTGTTAGAAAGACCCTGCGATAATGGCCAAGCCTTTAACTAATGGCCTCTTAAAAAAATATTTTCATACAGAATCGCAGAAGCCATCGAGTGTGCAGTAAGTCCAATCTGCCAGATAGTAGGCCAATCGATTTTATTTTCATCAGCTTAAAGATATAAACAATCTTATCGTGGGATAGATAGCAAAAGCGTTTGGTATAAATATCACACTAAGCAGCTATCGAGCATTAGTCGAACCGTAGTAGACACCAATTGAAAATATGCTGAAAGCAATCACAGTACTCGCTGTGGTCCTGGCCGTGGCCAGCGCCGAGCTCCATCGTGTGCCCGTTCTCAAGCAGGAGAACTTTGTGAAGACACGAGGCAACGTCAAGGCTGAGATCTCTCATTTGCGTGCCAAATATGGCCTGAAAATGGGTCGCGCTGTCGAGGAGGAGCTCTCCAACTCGATGAACATGGCCTACTATGGCGCCATCACCATTGGTACTCCCCCACAGAGCTTCAAGGTTCTGTTCGATTCGGGCTCCTCCAACCTGTGGGTGCCCTCCAATACCTGCTCAAGCTATGCCTGCGAGGTGCACAATCAATACGACTCCAGCGCCTCCTCCACCTACACGTCGAATGGCGAGAGCTTCTCCATCCAATACGGCACTGGCAGTCTGTCCGGCTTCCTCTCCACGGATACTGTTGATGTGAATGGTCTGTCCATTCAGAGCCAGACCTTTGCCGAGGCCACCAGTGAGCCAGGCACCAACTTCAACGATGCTAACTTCGATGGTATTTTGGGCATGGGCTACCAGTCAATTTCTCAGGACAATGTGGTGCCACCCTTCTACAACATGGTCTCTCAGGGTCTGGTCGATCAGTCTGTGTTCTCCTTCTACTTGGCACGTGACGGCACCTCCAGCCAGGGCGGTGAACTGATCTTCGGTGGCTCTGACTCCTCTCTGTACAGTGGCGCCTTCACCTATGTGCCCATCTCTGAGCAGGGCTACTGGCAATTCACCATGGCTGGTGCCTCCGTTGAAGGCTACTCGCTGTGCGATGACTGCCAGGCTATTGCCGATACCGGCACCTCTCTGATTGTGGCTCCAGCCAATGCCTACGAGCTGCTCAACTCGGTCCTCAATGTCAACGATGAGGGTTTGGTCGATTGCTCCACCGTCAGCTCTTTGCCTGTGATTAGCTTCAACATTGGTGGCACCAACTTCGATCTGAGCCCCTCGGCATATATCATTCAGTCCGATGGCGAGTGCCAGTCGAGCTTCCAGTACATGGGCACCGACTTCTGGATCTTGGGCGATGTCTTCATTGGACAGTACTACACCGAGTTCGATTTGGGCAACAACCGCATTGGCTTCGCCCCAGTTGCCTAAGCAATAAGCGAACCTTCAGTGAAAGCAAATAAAGTGATATCATAGAGCATTATGTTCAGTTAGTGTGAGCTAACGTGTATCTATAATATTTGTAATATCAATTTTTGTTTTTATTTTTTTTTTTTTTTTCATTTAAATTTAAAGTTCGTGAATCAAGCAATTTTTTCTATCTATAAGATAAAAAAATGTTTATCTAATTGGTTCACTATTTCACAATGGATTTTTTACTATTTGAGCGTTCTCGTAAGGTAGCCATCTTTAGGGTAGGCTCTACAGGTTGTTGGTGTATAATTTTGCTATTTGAGCTATCGACTCGGCTATTTCGCTGACGAAATTGAAGCTTTCACACTTAATGCAAATGATCCTAGCCTATCTTGGGATTGCGATAATTTGATTGTGATCGAAAATGAATTATTTATTCAGTATTAAATGTAAAATTGCATGCAATTTTTCATGGCTTTCGTGCCTTGTGATTTCCCTTGGGTAACCGTTGTAACGTTTTCTTTTTTAAGGCTTCTGACTAAGCTCTCTGCAGTGTCTTGTGCCTTAGCTGCCACGTCATCAGTGATGATAAACGCCGTCTGAGTTGACCGTTTGGCTTCGCCTTTGCTACTAGATATACGAGATACCCTGTAATGCAAGTGGATCAGATGAAAGGTCTATTGTGACTGGCCATAGGTATGCGAATGGCTTTTCGATGTGTGAAGGTCAATCAAGTCAGCGAGTCTGCCGATCAGTCACTTGATCAAATAGTCAATCAATCAAACTGATTGATCAGTCAATTATTCAATTAGTCAATTTCAAGCAAGCGCTTACTCTAACAGCTGGCCAATTGTAACTCACACAGTCTATTAATTATTTATTTAGTCAGTCAATTAATCCGTCAAGCAATCAATCAATTCGATCAATAAATAGCCCAGTCCGCCTGGCAATCAATAAATAAGCCAGTCAGTCAGTCAATCATTTAATCAGTTAGTCATGCAGCCTTTTATGTAATGTGTATATCAATCAGCTTATCAATTAGTTAGTCAATCAGTCAATCAATCTGTTTTTAAAATCTTATCAACAAACAGAAATGAAGTGAAAATGCTTATTACAGCCAAGCGCAGTTATTTACAGGGTATCCAGGCGAGTCACTTGGTTTCATATTGTGCCTCGTTCTATTTTGGGGGACTTTGTGGGCGTTTGTTGGGGCGCTTAAAATGCCATCAACAAGTTCTTTTAAGTTTTTCGATATAGACAATCTTATCTATGCCACAGATTTTCAGCGATTTGATTGATTTGCCCGATGCGATAAGGAACCAAGAGCCGCTCATATAAGAGTGCGTGGTATCCGACATTCCAACTTTAGTATAACAAATAAAAAAGTAATAGGAACAACATGTGGAAGGTGTTGCTACTGTTGTTCGCCCTGCTGCTGGTGCAAGCCGGCGCCAAGCTGCATCGTGTGCCGGTCTATAGGCAAAAGAATTTCGTTAAGACTCATGGCAATGTTAAGGCCGAGTTGGCGTATGTGCGAGCCAAATATAATGCGGTAGGAGCTGTTGCCGCAGCAACAGCGACCGGCACAACAGCCGGCAACAACACAGCAACAACAACAGCCAGTCTGCCAAAGGAGCCGCTAGCGAACTCCGTGAATTTGGAATATTATGGTGTTATAACAATTGGCACACCGCCACAGACCTTCAATGTGCTGTTCGATACGGGCTCATCGAATCTGTGGGTGCCATCGTTTCAGTGCGTCAGCGAAGCCTGCCAGGATCATATGACCTATAATCCAACGGTATCGACCACCTATAAATTCAATGGCGAGATGATAACTATGAAATATGGTAAAGGCGGTGTATCCGGCTTTCTGGGCATCGATGTGATCAATGTGAACGGCATGAGTATATCGAATCAAACGTTTGCCATTGTCACCTCTGAGCTGGATAATGATTATGTGGACGTCAGCTTCGATGGCATATTGGGCATGGGCTATGAGAGTTTGGCCGTTAATTATGTTGTGCCACCATTTTACAATATGGTGACTCAGGGTCTGGTCGCAACTCCCGTATTCTCGTTCTATCTGGCACGGAATGGCACCTCCCAGCAGGGAGGCGAACTGATCTTTGGCGGCTCCGATCCATCGCTCTACAAAGGCAGCATGGTCTATACGGATATTACTGAACAGAGCTACTGGCAATTCAATGTGGCTAATGCGACACTGAACGGTCAAGTATTGTGCACCAATTGCCAGGCTATTGCCGATACGGGCACCTCACTTCTAATGGCACCCTTGGATGTGTTCAGTCAGATTAAAAGTGTGCTGGGTATTGGATCGGCTGATATATTTGAGTGCACGTCTGTGGCAGCGATGCCAACTATGAAATTTGCCATTGGTGGCAAGGTCTTCGGTGTGCCCAGCTCGGCGTATATCATTCAAGAGGGTGACACCTGTTCCCTGGGCATTGGTGGCATTTCAACAAACTTTTGGATCTTGGGCGATGTCTTCCTGGGACAATATTATACGGAATTCGATATGGGCAACAATCGCATTGGATTCGCCTCAGTTAGTGGATTGCACTATACGGCGGACGGTGGAGCTTCGAGCTTGAAGCAGTTGCGTATCCTGGAATTCGCTGCATTGTTGGCTGTGCTCTGGAAGGTCTTGGACTATTTCAATTAACAGAATATTACGTAATCTATGTTTAAATTCGATTTTTGTTGTTTGTTAATTATTATCGTAAATCTCTGTGCTGAATCTAATATGCAGTGATACTGATCCGAAATAAAGAAGTGCATATACTTATAATCAATCGAGTAATGATGTGGATGGTGAAAGCTCTCGGGCATTAAGCAGTGTTATGTGTGAGATTAGTGTTTAAAATCTTTTAAACAGAATACACTTCAAGTATCTGAGTAGTTTAAGAAATAATAACTATATAGTTTGAGAGCTTTATCTAGAACTGCTGTGGAATGGTAGACTGATTGATCACTTTTGACTTGTAATAATCAGCGCAGCGGCTGGGATGATCTTCTCTCAAATCGTCAGCTGATTGAGCTGCATCTGGGAACGGGAACCGTTGCACAAGAATAATGAAGAAGAAGAAGCAGGAAAAAAATATTAAGCCAAAACAAATTGTGGACTGAAGATTCTTTTCATCTTCTTGTGGCGCTTAATTGGGCCGCCGTTGAGCGTGATTTATTGTAAAAAAAAGAGCGAAGTAAAAGATGAATTTTTGCAGTTTCCGAACTTCGAATGTACACATTATTTATGTGTTATTTGGCTACCCTGTAGCCAGTTGGCAATGGGTGAAATGAAAGGTATAACGCCTTGTGAGATGTAGCATGGCAAACATCGAGATATTTTGAAATAGCAAGTACAACATAAAATGGCTGTCCTAATTCTTTAAAATCGATAATTATCGCTTTGTATATTGTCTGCTTAGGAACATATCTCAAAAGGGGAAGAGCTAGAAAAACATTATTTATAAGCTTGGGGCTTCTATAGTTATTCCTATATAAAAAATGATCGATAAACAGTCTTTTTTTAAATCGATAACTTATCGATAATAGAGCCTTCTTATTTGACACCATCTTAAGGATAGAGATATATTTCAAGCGTCATATGTAGACTTTCGTTTAGTTGATACAGGCACAGGCAGACAATACATACAAAATATCGATAAATATCGATTTATTTCATATTTTTATTGCATATCTGGTGGAGTATACAATTCTTGAAGCTTGAACAAGCAGATTCTTTTGTAATACTGCACAATATTCGAACAGGGTATATTCTAGTCGTGCACTCTCCGCTTGCAGCTCACTTTTTACTGTTGTCAGGGATTAGGAATTATGCGCAGTAAGTCCGACTACACTCGCAGCTCCCACACACAAAAAAATATAAATAAATAAAGATATATACATGTATATATCTTAAGGATCGAAAAACGTTGTTGGTGGGCCGTCGAAAGCCGAAGAACAAACGAGCAAAACTTTAATGAGCGTTGGGGGTTTTAATAAGTGCAATTGCCTCGTTGGTGAGCTGGATGGTCGGTCGGCTTGTTGAAAATTTATTGGCCAAGCAATTGCACAGTTCGAAGCTCATCAAATACCAATAAAATATCATTTGTTGTAATTTGAGGGGACCACCGGGCTCTATATCTTTTGAGCTTTAACTCAAGCTCTGGTTCTCGATGTGGGCTTCAGTTGCGTGGATTCGAGATTATGATCTGTCGCTCTTCTCTCTCCCTTTCTTTCTCTTCGTCTTTGTCTCCTTCATGGAGCAATCTGTCTCATTAGAGTTGCCAGAGCGCTTGATTTATTGTTGTTCAGCTCTGTGGTTGTTGTAGTTGTTGTCGATAAATCACATTAAGATATTTGCGAAAAGCGAAAAAGTAAGGAGAGGAAGAGTTAAGCCAGACACTTGGGCTGGCTCTTTTGGTTCTTGACAAATCTCTAAGCGAAATCAGTTAACAACTTAACTAATGATTATCAATGTGTGTTTAAGCAACACCAACGACAACAACAACAAACAACCAGCAACAAGAGAAACATCCATGAACAACATTTTCGATAAGCCAATGCAACAACTTTTTGCCACAGACCACAACAGATCTGCAGCAATCAAATGCTGATATAAACACATACACACACACACACACACAAATACACACACACGCGTGTAACAAATGAAAACATCGTTGATAACGGCTTTGTCGCTTTGCTTCGTCTGCAAATTGTGCGTATTTGCATAGTTCGTTAGTTCTTGGGCTACGCAACACGCACTTGAAAAAATGTTGGTATATTTGGCCTACTCAAGCTGAGAATTGATGTAGTACAGTTAAGCGAGGATAAGTTCAGTAGTGATAAAAACGAAGTACAGTAGTTAAATACTAATACCTTAATAGTGTTATAATAGTAGTAGACGCGCAGTTGACTATTAATATAGTAGTAGTATAACAATAATATAACATTAGTAGAATAGTAGTGTAACAGCAATATAACAGTAGTATAACAGTAGTATTACAGTAGTATTAAAGTATAATAATAGTAGTATAGCAATAATATAACAGTAATATAATACTAGTATAACAGTAGTATGACAAAAGTTATACTAGTAAAAAATTGTATGACAGTACTCAAAAAGTAGTATAAAGTTAGAGCAACATTAAGAATAACAGTAGTATATAAGAGAAGTAATATATTTAATTAAAATATTCCATTATTATTATATTCCTAAGATCGTATAAGAACACAGCTAAAACTGGTCTGTAATTTTATTCATGTCTTTACTTAGCTAATGATATATCTATTGAGGATTCTTAACTAACATTTTGCAACGGGTATACACTGCATTCAAGCACTTTGCAAATCTTTGTCGACGCAGCTTCGTCTTTAGTATATTCGATTATTGGCAGCTAAATATGCAAAATCCTTAAACGATATTCTGCTCTCTCGCTCTGTCTCTTTCTCCCTATCTTTCTCTCTGCGTGTGTTTCTCTTGATACCCTTCAAAATATGCAAATTAAATGTAAATAAGCTTGCAACTATTCGGCAAAGCTTTTTGGCATATCCATCCCTGCGTTCAGATACTACACAGAACGTACGTCTTCGTCTGCGCTGCCAGATGTTAATGCTTTGATAAGTTGGCCAACTTGTGTTTTTTTCTGTACTTCTTGCATTGTAAAATTTCGCAGTTCTCAGTGGACAGATAAGAGTCGCCTCTCAGCAATTTTCCAATTGGCCTACGAAAAAAAAAAAAACGAAAGGAGCAGCCGGAACAGCAGGAGTAAATAGAAAGGAGATCACAAAAGAAGACAGAAGGGAACACTCCGCCGGATATAGGGCTGAAGAGATTGAATATAGAACATAGAACGTAGAACATAGAACATAGAATATAGAACTTGAACATATACAACTTGAATATGGAACATGAAACATTGGACATAGAACATAGAACAAGAAACGTGAAACAATGAATAGAAAACATGAAACATGGAACGTATAACATGGAATATGGTCCATAGAACATAGATCATATAACGTGGAATATGGAACAGTGAACGTTGAAATAGGAACATGGAACATGAAACATGAAACATGGCACATGGAACGTGGAACATGAAACATGAAACATGGAACATGAAACATGGAACATGGAACATGGAACATGGAACATGGAACATGGAACATGGAACATGGAACATGGAACATGAAACATGAAACATGAAACATGAAACATGGAACATGGAACATGAAACATGAAACATGAAACATGGAACGTGGAACATGAAACATGAAACATGAAACATGAAACATGAAACATGAAACATGAAACATGGAACATGGAATATGGAACGTGGAACATGAAACATGAAACATGAAACATGAAACATGAAACATGGAACATGGAATATGGAACGTGGAACATGAAACATGAAACATGAGACATGGAATATGAAAAATGGAGAGCAGAACATAGAACATGGAATATAGATAGTAGATGGTGGATAGTAGGCTATTCATAGCTTGTTTTCTTTTATATGTTACACATTTCTTGGCATTATCCAGATACTCGTAGGAAGCGTATATTGAAAGAGGTAATAAGAAGCACGTAGCATCTGATAAAGGGGAGGAACAATCGATAAATTCAGAGCCAGTGCTGCCAACTTGTCTCGCTGCAGTTGTTGTAGCTGTAATAATTGTGAAATTGTTTATTATGAATGCAATTAGTGCGGCGTGTGAGTGGGGAGATAAATCAAAGGGATAACAGCGATAAGGAGCGACGCGAATTGGACAGAGCTTTCCCGGCTGTAGCATTTCGATAAACGATAACACGTTTCATTTGTCTTCTTCTTCGTCTTTAAGTGATTACACTTTATGAGTTATTGTTGCTGTTGTTGTTGTTGCCAGTTGCCTGTTGCCTGTTGCTGTTGCCTGCTGCTGCTGCTGCTGCTGTAATTATTATTGATATTATTTACTTTAATCTGCTGCATCGCGCTGCAACTTAATTGGAATGAGTAAAAGTGTGTGTCCCCCTGCACTACTCTCTTCCTCTGCCTCTATCTGGCGCTGTCTCTGTCTCGCTGTCTCCCCTACCTTGTCGCGCGTGTGTGCGGCACACTTTTGCGCCCCGAAAAAATGTGTAATTTGTAGCAATTTTGTCCCGTCTGTAACTGGGTCAAACTTTTATAGTTGACCGCCATAAATGGGAGCCGATCTGAACTCCAAAAATATGCCAAAAAAGAAGCACAAGTCAGAGTGTGGCTCTAGTCACGAGAGCCCGACTAAGAGATACCCTGAACACTGCTGTTGCAGAGTTGCTCTAAACAGACACAAGTCGACTTAGGTAAAGTAGACCTATCTCAAGTATACCTATTCCAAAGTAGCTGTTGTATACCTATCTCAAACTAGATGTAAGTTCTGACTGAGAGTTTTAAGTCAAGTTCAGGCTACGCCACCTTCCGCCTGTTACATACACTTGCATAAATACAAGCTACCCATTTGCATGTAGTTCAGTGTGTGAAAGAGCAAAATAAACGCGATGCAGTTGCCTTTGGTGGCACAATAAAAATTTAGTTTAATGAAAGTGTTTTTTCCTTCTTTATTTTGCGGCTCGGAATTTGATGGCTTGATTGCCAGACACTGGGATTATGATATAGTTGAGAGATCAGTGCGCGATTTTGATGACGTTTACGATTACGACTACGATTACGATTACGGGTTTATTTTTGTTTTCCCCCTGTAACCTCGAAAGCGCGTTGAAAGCGACGAAGATTCATGATTTCGT